GTATACAGTGTTTACGAAGTCTACAACAGTGTACAGTAATGTCCTAAGCCTTCACTTTTACTCACTACTCACTCACTGACTCTCCCAGAGCAACTTCTGGTCTGGCAAATTCCTTTCATGGTAAGAGCCCTATACAGATATACCATTTTTATCTTTATACCATATTATTACAGTGCCTTTTCTATGTTTAGATTTATTTAATACACAAATACTTACCACTGTGTTACAACTGCCTATAATACTTGTTACAATAACATGATTTACAGGTTTGTAGCCTAGAAGCAATAAACTATAACATGTAGTCTAAGTGTATAGTATGGTATACCATCTAGATTTGTGTCAGTGAACTCTATGATGTTTGCACAATGACAAAGTTGCCTAACAAGATATTTCTCAGAACATATTCCTATCATTGACACATGACTTATGTAGAAAATCTGAAAGAATGGACAAAAAACCTTTCTGGAACTAATAAGAATGATAGCAAGTCATCTGGAACCTGTATAATTTTATTAACCAGTGTCACCCCAATAAATTCAATTAAAAAAGAAATCACAGCAGGATTACAGTATACAAGATGAATATAATGGGGGAAAATGGGGACAACTGTAAATGAACAGCAATAAAAAATAAATAAAAAAAGAAACATCCAATCACTTCCTAAATACCAGTAATGAGCAACTGGAATTTGAAATTAAAGACACTATCATATGTATTAGAATTCCCAAATGAAATACTTAAATATAAATCTAAAAGTGCATACAAGATCTATATGAGGGAAACTACAAAACTCTGGTGAGCAAACTTCAAAGAACAAAATAAATGGATAGTTATTCCATTTCCATATCCATGGAATAGTTATTCCATATCCATGGATAGTTATTCCATATCCATGGATAGAAAATCTCAATATTTTCAATATGTCAGTTCTTCCCAAATTGATCCAAGAATCAATGAATTCCTGATGAAAATCTCAGCAAGTTATTGCATGGATATTGACAAACTGATTCTCATATTTAATGGAGAGGAAAAATATTTCAAATATCAACACAATATTTAAGTAGAAAAACAAAGTTGGAGGATGAACACTATTCAGATTCAAGACATTCTATAAAGCCACAGTAATCAAGACAGTGAAGTATTAGCAAAAGAATAGACAAATAGAAATCAAGAAAATATATGTACCTCTGTTCTTTGCAACATTATTTATAGTAGACAAAATATTAAAACAAGCATGTGTTTAAGGATAAACGAGTGGATAAAGGTGTGTATGTGTATATATATGTATAGAGTCTGTACATATTTATAAATATATACACATTTATGTACACACCACACAAACAAGCACATATACATACACATCATGTACATATGAAACACACATATTTTCCATGTTTACACATGTAAATATGTATAAGTGTGTGCACACATTTACATGTGTGTGCATGTGTGTGCACACATATTAAACAGGGATATATGTACAGATTTATATATGCACAGACACAAACATGTATGAATATGTATGTATGCACATGTGCTGTGTGCATGTATAGACACATTTGTATATATACATATTGTGTCTGCCTTGGTGTGCACATGTTTATACATATATGCACATGCATGCATATGCACATATATGTATACATATATACACACATGCCCATGCACACACAATGGAATAATACAGATTTAATTCTGTCAACAATAAGAAAACATAAAACCTGATTTAAAAATCGGCCAAAAACATTAACAGACACCTCACCAAAGAAGCTATATAGTTGACAAATAAATAAGCATATAAAAATGCTCTATATCATTTTTCTTTTTCTTAATTTTATTTTCATTGTTGTTGCAGCACAAGTTTCTATCTTTTACTCCCATCCCAACCCACCCACCCAGTCCTCCCCTCCTCCCTCCCATTTCCATCCACCCCTAGTTTTTATCCATGTGTCCTTATATTCATTCCTGTACATTTTTGATGAACAAAATGCAAATTTAAACATTAAGATACCTCTACACATCTATTAGAATGACCACAATGTGGAACACAGACAACACCCAATACTGGTTAGTTATGCAGCAAAAACTCTCATTTTTCATGAGTACAAATGCAAAATGGTACAGCCACTTTAGAAGACAGGAGGTTTCATACGAAACTAAACATGCTCTTACTATACTATCATGCTACCTGGACCCATAAGAATTGAAAACATGTCCACACAAAAACTTGGACATGTATAGTTATAGCAACTTCATGCATGATTACCAAAACAAGGGTATGTGGAAAATATCTCAACAAACAGTTATAAATATCCCTTCCTAAAATAGTTATAAATATAAATTTATGTATAATAAATATAAATGTATTATAAAGCATTAATTTTTAAAAAACAATTCATAAATTGTACCAATTATACTTCTTTCATACCTTTGAAAAGAAATTAACAACTTAGGGAGCCTAGAAAAACTGTCTCTCAATATCAACACAGCAAACACGACTTACCTTTGAGAAATCCATAGCCGTATCCCACTGATATTCTCACCTGTATATCTCAACTATATGAAGGCATTTTGCCATAAGTTGAGGTTATCTCTAAGAATTCTTTAAATTTAAAAGGCATTTCAGTAGACTCACATGTAGAATTAAAATAATACATTGAAACAATAATAATATTAACATGGTAACTCAAATGTAACAGCCTACTTATTAATTATATGTTATTTACATAATTCTCCAGTATTCATAACTAATTTTGTGTAATATAATTATGGGGAAAAGATTGGTGGTGAATGTTCATTTTATATTTTTATTTCATAATTGCCTCAGAATGACATTTAAAATGTTGCAGGAGATAGCACAGGAAGAGCTCTGAGACTGCATTGCTGTTGCTGGCCAGGCAACACCTTTCAGCACTTAGGTAGCAGCTGGGAATGAGAGGCCACAAGGGAAATAAAGGCAGGGCCCTCATCATTGCAATCTAACAAGGAACTTAATACTGGAAGCTAAAAGAAAAGGAAGACATGTCTGTCCAGTAGACCTGATCCTGGTTGGATAAGGCTGGCAGGCATTCCAAACAACATAAGCAAAACTATCAGGGTATGGAAGGTAGAGAGGGAGCCCTTGAAAGTCTGTGTGTATCATCCCCACTAGCTGGGAAAAGGATAACCTTGAGACTGTGTGTTCATCCCAAGGCCTAGAAGGCAAGGGGCTTGTAGTGCCCAAAGAAAAGCCCCTAAAACAATGTTGGTTAATTGTTTGCTTCCTGTCATTTTTACAAAATGAACAAATAGAGTCTGGAGCAAGATAAGGATTTAAGCTAACAGACCCCCACACATACCTGTGTTTGGGTAGTCATGTCTCCACTGGGGAAGCTGGCACCACCTTTACCTGTCAATCACTATATAACTTCTTCACCCCCACCCAGTCAACTAGGTAAGTCCTTATAACCAAAGACACAGGATCCCCTCTTCTCTTGGCTCTTTTTGCCACATAGGGGAGAGGGGTGCCCTGGCCACTTGGCCTCTGGCCATGGGAACTGTGGCCACCTAGGTGCTGACCACCCAGATTCTGGCCACCCTGCTTTTCTCACCCCTGCTCTTGCCACCCTTGCTTTTGTTGCTTTCCCTTTAGAACTTAACACTAATAAAGTGGGTGCACACCAACACGTTTACTGATCTGTAACTCTTTACTGTGTTGTCAAGAAGAACCAGGATTTCTCCAGTAACAAAAATGTCTTTTGAAATTATTTATGAATTCTGCATACTTTAGCTTAATTTTATTCTCTTCACTTTTGATTGGCTTTATATTTTATACTGTGGATCACTGCTGAAAATGTAGAATTTTACTAAATACTTTAAGCTATGACTTTCTTAAAATGATGTCTACAGGTTATGCATAATAATTTTACCCATTAGTGAATTTCACCCAATCAAAGCAGGATGTCACACAAATGAAACAAGACACCTAAAGGACATAAACATTTTGGCATGGAAGCTGTGAGGTGGTGCTCTCATCCAGTCTTGAGCAATTTCAAGCTGAGTGTCTTTGTGAAATGCTTCTTTATTACCAAATTAAGACATTTGACTATATAACCTCAGACACATATTTAAACACTGCAAAGTAATGACTAAAAAGGGCTATCTAACCTGGGATATATATGATAACCAATTTTGATTAGAATCCTCAAAAAAGAAGAATGTCATCTGAGTTTTTATTTTTACTTCAATGCAAAACATATTCCCTGTGTTTAAATAGAAATACTTCATCTCCACAAATCTCCTAAAATTAATACTTAAAATGTGTGCCTTTCAAAAAACATCATTTAAAGGTAACACTAAAATAAGTATGTGATATTGGTGATGTGTAATATGTACTTCATGTTCCAAATGGAATTGTACTGGGTATGAGTTATTCAGGAAATTACTGCTTAAGAAAAAAAAATGGGAAATCAGTTGAAATAACTGGATTTGACTCAGGAAGATTAGGTAATATTGATGGGATTCTTCAACAATATGTGTGAATGAGAAAGTATAACAAGCTGGAAGTCAGAAACACTTTCCTGACAGGAATTTAGAAAACCATTGAGAGGTTATTTGGAGCTAATATGATGGGGATTTTCTATCTCTGCCATTTAATTGGAGAGAAACAATGAATATTAAATTTACCAGTACTTGGAGTCAGTACTTAAATTTTTTATTGATCTCATTTTTGTGAATTTATTTGTATTCATTATTTGATTTTATATAATTTATGTTATTGAATGCATTATTTTATATATTATTGTTTTTTTGCTACCCAAATTTTATCCTTCCCTCCCTCTCTCCCTCCCTGCCTCCTTTCCTTAACTATTACTTCAAATTTCTTTTTAAATTCTGGACATATAAGTAATCTAGAGAAATCAGGTTTATTTTTCCTTAATAGCACTTCAGAAAATTAGTGGTACCTTTATTTTCCTAACAAACATGTGCTAATAATATCCACCCAACTTTATTTTCTTTAGGAAAACCCACTACATTATGTGAGACTATGGGGAAAGCAGAAATTTGGCTAATGCGGACATATTGGGATTTTGAATTTCCTCGTCCATACTTACCTAATTTTGAGTTTGTAGGAGGACTGCATTGTAAACCTGCCAAACCATTGCCTAAGGTAGGTCTATTATGCTGGAGGGTTTTTTGTACCTATGATAGAAATTCTGATTTTCCTCTAAACTTTAGAGCCTAAACAACAGAGATGTGCTACTGTGCATCTTCAGGTTGTTACTCCAAATCAATTTTCTAAATTATATGGGTTTCTTATGAGTGGTATTCCTTTTGTAGATTTGACTTTCATATTTAAGCTGAAGAATGAAGTGATATAAGCATGTTAAAAATATGAGCATGTCTACTATGGGGGTACTAGATTGAAGGGATAGGAAACTAAAGCCTTGAGTGTCACTGAGGAAACTGCTGTGGTCATCCTAACCAGCATGGTGGAATTATGAATAGGAAAACTTGCCATGGTTGTTTGAGTAATAAGAGGCTTTTGTAAGAACTGTTGAGTAGATTCACAAGATCTGGTCAGTAGAAATAAGTATTGTCAGAAGACACAGAATCAGATATGGCTTCTTGCACAGCAGTGAGTTTTACTGAAGTAAGCAATAATGGAAACACTTTTTGAGATGACAATTGAGTTAAATTTCAAATTAATTTTAAAGATCCAAAGGAATTTTCAGGTGGAAATTTCTAGAAATTGTGTAGGTAATAAATATTTCTGTCCCAGCAGAGCGCATTAGAAATAGATTAGGAGTCATCAAAATGAAGCAGAAGTCATAGAACTGAGAGACCCAAATGTTAAATCAGTTCTCTATGACCATGATGTCAGGGGTGGGGGTTACTGAAAAAAAGAAAATTTTGTAACACATTCCAAAGTTATAAAAAAATAAATGTAGACTGTCAGAAGTGTTGGAAGAAAACTATATTGAAAAGTAAAAGAGATTAATAGGTAAACATAACATTGTATTTAACCATATTAATAGAAAGTGAGGAAACACTCGTTTGCTTGGCTTTTAGGTAAATAACATAATCTCTATAGAAGGCAGCAGGTTAAATGTTGTTCCCAGTAGAGTTCTTGATTTCTGCTTCAAGTAACATACATATTTAAGTTTAAGAATTCATTTCAGGACTTTGAATATGGTTTTCCTTCTTTTTTTTTAATCCTTACCCAAATACATTTTTTCACTGCTTTTAGGGAGAGAAGGGGGAGAGAGAGAGAGAGAGAGACAGAGAGACAGAGAGAGAGAGAGAGAGAGACAGAGAGAGGGACATCAATTGGTGAGGAAGAAGCACCAATTGGTTGTCTTCTCAAGCTTCCCAGCTGGGGATTGAACTCACAAGCTGGGTATGTGCCCTGACAGGAAATTAAATCCATGACCTTTGGTATATGGGATGAGGCTCCAATCAACTGAGCCACACTGGCCAGGGCTGAATGTGGTTTTCTTACCAGCAATTTATAGCTTCAGGCAAACTCTATTGAGTGCTATTACAGGAGATAATGAACTAATATCTAAATGAAGATAGAGACATGTGACATATTCTGTGGCTCACTACATAAAATCTTGACACACTATTATGTTTTTCACAATTTCACAAAACAACTCAGACTTGCTTAATTACAAGAGAGGAGGATTATTCCATTTCAAACCTTATTATTAATATAGATGTTTGAGCAACATAAATACCAATCATGGCTTATCTGATGAAAGAATTGTGCCAGTCACAGAATAAAAAAAATCTATGAGAGGCAATCAAATCAAGAATCCAAATTAAACAGGTACATATGTAAGCCTTAAATGGTGTGTGTGTGTACTCTATTTTTTTTTTATTCAATCGTCAATTTAGGGAGATGAATCAAAATGACAAAACTACCAGATCCTGGGACTTCAGCGATATTCTCCTAACAGTAACTAAGCTAAAAACAGTTGTCTACATTTATGGCATCATCTTTCCCCTACTAATTTTACTAGACATACATTGAGAAACATCAGTTATTTCAGGACAACCATGAATAGTTACAAAGAGAATGCATGGTACATATCTAGAGGGTGACATGCATGTAGATTCTGATGTAAAAGACTCCAATCCCAGACTTTGCAGCGCTCAGCCTGCCCGACTGTAAGCAATATACATGAAAATTTTTATTTTGCAAAGAAAATTTTATTTTACTTCCATGCCAAGGCTCACATTAAGGGCATGCAGTTAGTATCACACTTGCATGAAAAGAGAATCACTGTCTTGTACATGTTTTCATAATTATAGCATAAGTTTGTGTTGCCACCTTTTAAACGTATTACTAAATATCCCATTTTTTAAAATTAAATCTTTGTAGCCCCATGAATCAAGGAATGAATAAATACAAGACAAATATCCTAAATACCTAACAGAAAGTTAAGTCAATTCATTATGAATTTATTAGCTGTAAACTGGAATACTAAAACAAAAATTAAAGCCTAGTTCTAAATCCTTTTATGAAGGGAGCTTTCCTCCAAGAAATACTTTTATGAGCTTGCAAACAATTCTTTTGGTTTATACAATTACCATATTTTGCCTTGTATAATGCACAATTTTTTACCAAATTTTTGAGGGACAAATAAGGGTGCACATTATACACGGGTATAATGGTTACATACCATGAGTATAATAATGGATCTAATAATTTCATGATGATAAGCAAAAAAATGTGGATGCATATTATACACAGCACAACCCAGAAACCTTAGGAGGTTTTATTATCTATTAATCTGGTACAATTGTTTGATTCCATGCCTTTGTTTATAATCTCTTATTAAATACTTTAGCCTTGGTTTGCAGAAACATATTTTCTCTTAAAGATCTAGATGGTATATAGTAGAACACAGAACCAGTCTCACAATGTCTCTCACACTTCTCTTGACCCTGATTATTTAGAAAAGTAGGTGAAAAATTACTTGTAATCCTATACTTATATAATAAAGATAATTTTATCTCTTCAGGAAATGGAAGAATTTGTCCAAAGTTCAGGTGAACATGGTTTTGTGGTGTTTACTCTGGGTTCAATGGTCAAAAACCTCACAGAAGAAAAAGCCAGTCTCATTGCCTCAGCCCTTGCTCAGATTCCACAGAAGGTCAGTGCAACATGCCATCCTAGTGAGCAGCCACTTCCCAATTGCAGAAAGAGTGTGGTCAATAGTATTCTTTCCAGATGAAAGTTGAAACTCTTTATACATTGAGCATAGCTGGCACCACCTTGAAGTAAAAATTTCTTAAAACATTAAAATGTTGTATTTGGGCACATTTGATAATTTGTCAACTGAGCTTTTGCATCGCTATCAGAATAGAACTTGCCTTTTCAGTTTAGTAAGAAGTATATCTGCTTTTCTGCTTGAAAACAGTTGTTTGGAATACAATGCTGCTCTCGGTATAGTCCAAACGTTATTTTGCCCAGTTTAAAGCTTCAAAATGTTTGAAGAAGACAGGCAAGACAATTGCTCTGAAACAGCAGTTTGACTCCATTTTGAAGTGTCTCATTTATATTATTTTTAACATCTCCTATTCATGAAACATCTGAGGATACTATATATTTGCATTTTAGTTAAAGTAAAAAAATCACTGTGATAATCTGCATACTAATTAGACCTGCTAAATCTTTGGATTTTTATTTCTAAAAACATTTTATTTTTATTTCTAACAAACTTTTCTGTTTGTTTTTAAGTATATTAAAATTTTCTTTTTTTATTGTTGCTCATGTATAGCTGTCTCCATTTCCCTACCTCCACCTCCCCAACCTCAGCAATCCCCACCTTCCACCATTGATCCTATCCCCCTTTAGCTTTGTCCGTGTGTCTTTATATGTTCTTTGATGACACTTCCTCCTTTCTCCTCTGTTATCCTCTCCCACCTCCCCTCTCACTACTGTCAGTTTGTTCTTTATTTTAAAGTCTCTGGTTCTATTTTCTTGCTTGTTTGTTTTGTTGATTAGTTTCCATTTATAGGTGAGATCACATGGTACTTGTCTTTCACCACCTGGCTTATTTCACTTAACATAATGTTCTCGAGATCCATCCAAGCTGTCATGAAGGGTAGGACTTCCTTCTTTCTTCCTGCTGCATAGTATTCCATTGTGTAAATGGACTATAGTTTTTTGATCCACTCATTTAATGATGGGCACTTAGATTGCTAACAAACTTTTCTGTTAAGAGTTTGCCACCTACTAGTAAATAATCTGGAATTTGTTTTACAGAATCCCCCAAAAGAAAAATTATGTAAGGAACGTTTAACATCCTAACAAGATACTTCATTTAATAATGGTATATAAGTAGACCTCCTATTTCATCCTTCCTCCAAAATTAAAAGAAAGAAGGAAGGAAGGAAGGAATAAAGAAAAGAAGGAACAAGGGAAAGAAGGAAGGAAGGAATACAATTAAGCATCCAAAAACCAGACAATAAAACTAAAGTTAATTATATTTTTGGAAAATATTACATTTGAAACTTGAGAGCTAAGATGGCATCCTGACAAATAAATTTACACAGCATTCATATTTGTTTTAATGTGTTTTAGTCCACAATTCTGGTTGACTAAATGAGTTATATTTATTTTTTATTTCTTCACTTACAATCTTTTAAGCTTTTAAGTGATAAACATCATTTTAAGTGATAATACTATACTGAGTAAATTACTAGTACAAGCCCTTTCAAAAAAGGTAGATGTAAATGCCCTACTGTATCTCTCAATGTTTTCTAACTACCCCTTTCATACATTCCTCTCAAATATCATATAGAATAGGCTACATAATTTTTAAATAACTCTACAGCACTGTAATTCCTCAGTTGTGTGTCTTACTTGCAAAATTAAATCACTCTTTCTACAGGTTTTATGGAGATACACAGGAAATATACCAACCACATTAGGAGCCAATACCCGACTCTATGAGTGGATGCCCCAGAATGATCTTCTTGGTAAGACTGAGGGGAATAGCTGTAGAGTTGGATGATGAACAAGTTAAGTAACTGATAGCAACTAAATTTAATCAACATTCAATCATTTAAATTTTTATTCATTGACTTTTTAGAAAGAGAGAAGAAGGGGGACAGACAAATAGACATTGATTTGTTGTTCCACTTGTTTATGCATTCATTAGTTTATTCTTGTATGTGTCCTGACCAGGGATCAAATCCACAACCTTGGCAAATCAGAAAAACACTCTAACCAACTGAGCTACCCAGCCAGGGCAACATTTAACAATTTAAAATTTTACTGCCAATTTTAAAGCAGATGTAATTGAAGAATTGGCCATTTGTAGAGTTTGCTTCCTTTGGTTGATAAAGGTGCATCTTCAGTTAAGCCTCTCATCACTTTTTAAATTTCAATCTCAGTTCAGAAAACAACTCCTCAGTAAACATCTCCTTTTTCCATACAATGCTGAGAGCGTTAATTCTGCCATTCCCTGAGGTCAGTTTTCTGATGCAGCAATAACCTCTGTGTTCAGCTTCTATAGAAAATACTGCCTTCTTCATTGATTTATTCTGTAGTTTTTCACCAACTCTCTCTGAAATTCTGTTAACATATAATGAAATCCTCATTTGTTTCTCACCCAACCCTCAAACTAGGTCATCCCAAAACCAAAGCTTTTATCACTCATGGTGGAACAAATGGAATCTATGAAGCCATTTATCATGGGGTTCCTATGGTAGGAGTTCCCATGTTTGCTGATCAGTATGATAACATTGCTCACATGAAGGCCAAAGGAGCGGCTGTGGAAGTGAACATAAACACAATGACAAGTGCAGATTTGCTCAATGCCTTGAGAACAGTCATTAATGATCCTTCGTAAGTACTACTGCTTTGAAAGGCTTATCCTTGGTTATGTTATCCATCATATTGAAGGATGCCCAATGTTTCATGTATTTGTAATTAGTATACTTTCAAATAACAAAGATAACATGACTAATATAGAAAACACTTTATTATTTCATTCCCCAAATTGATGAAGTCACTTGCTAAAATTGCAAACAACCCAAGTTCAAATACCTATCAATATTTTTGCAAAAAAATAATGTTAATAATGACATAAATTCTCAGATATTTTTTAATCCTATGCTTATTTTCACGAATATACACACTTCTTTAAATATTATAAGTGTTCAGTAAATATAAAAATAGATATGAAAATTACTAAAAATTAATCACTCAAAAATAACCCTCATTAAAATTGAGTGCATACCATCATTGGCATATGCATAAATACAGGGAGATAGAATAGTTATAACTTTATATGGGGGGACCCAAAGAAACTGGAATTATCTTCTGGAGGGCAGGACCCTTATAGCACAAGCTTCCCTGACTACATGAATATTCTAGAAACCCATATGTATCAGTGCACCAGCTGGCGTTGTTGTGAAAGGCTGTGTTCAGCTTCAGTGAGTTTTTGTTTTTTTTTTTTTGAAGATTCTAAATAGTTGCCCATTTCATGATGGGTGACTTAAGAGCACACCTTCCCACAGCATGTTTAGAAGTTTTTGACCAAAACTGTCATGACCCCTGACAGTTTTGACCCCAACATCTTCATTCATCTGATCTTGGCCCAAGTGACATTTTTTTTCCTTCCCTGGATTAAAAAAAAAAAGCCCGCAAAGGGAAATGTTTTGCCCATGTGGTAGAAAGGAAACAAAAAATGGCAGAAGCACTAAAAGGCATCAAAATCAGCAATTACAACTGTGTTGAGCAGTGGGAAAAAAAGTCTCTTTAGGTGTATTGTATCAAATAGAGAGTATTTTGAAGGCAACTGAAGTTTAAACATGTAAGAATAATTATACAATTGTTGTATAAATAAATTCTGGTTTTTCATTCTCCCCTTGTAAATATAGATTGCAAAAATTTTTGACCCATTCATTTTTTCAAATGTGTTATTCAATTTCCATGGTTTTGCATGTTTTTCAATATTCTTTTTGTGATTGATTTCTAGTTTCATAGCATTGTGTTCAGAGAAGATGCTTGATATGATTTCAGTCTTCTTAAATTTATTGAGACTTGTTTTGTGTCCTAACATGTGGTCTGTCCTAGAAAACATTCCATGTGCACTTAAAAAGTATGTATATTCTGCTGCTTTGGGGTGAAATGCTCTGAAGATATCACTTAAATCCATTTGATATAGTATGTGGTTTAAGGCCACTGTCCCCTTGTTGATTTTCTGTCTGGAAGATCAATCCATTGAAGTCAGTGGGGTATTAAGATCCCTAACTATTGACTGTATTTCTATCAATCTCTCCCTTTATGTGCTCAAGATTTGCTTCACATATTCAGGTATTCTTACATTGGGTGCAGAAATGTTTACTAATATTATATCTTCTTGTTGGATTGTTCCCTTTATCACTCTGTAATGTCCAATATCTCTTAATATAGCCTTGGTTTTAAAGTTTATTTTGTCAGATATAAGTACTTCTACTCCAGCTTATTTTTCCTTTCCATTTGCATGAAATACCTCTTCCCATCTCTTTACTTTTTAGTCTATGTGTTTCTTTTGATCTGAGATGGGTCTCATGGTGACAGCATATATATATAGTTTTTGTCTTCTAAGCCATTCAGCTACCCTGTGTCTTTTTATTGGAGCATTTGAGCTACTTACATTAAAGCTGATTACTGATAGATATGTATTTAGTGCCATTTTATTGTTAGACAATTTTCTTCTGTTTTTTCCTTTCTCTTTTTCTTCTTCTTAAAGAAAGCCTTTTAACATTTGTTGTAATACTGGTTTGATCCTAACAAACTCCTTTAGCACTTTCTTTTCTGGAAAGTTCCTTACTTCTCCTTCAATTTTAAATGATAACTTAGCTGGGTGATGTAGCCTTGGTTGTAAGTCCTTACTTTTTTGTCTCCTTGAATATTTCACACCACTCCCTTCTGGCCTGAAATGTTTCTGTTGAGTCATCAGATGACAATCTACTTGGTGCTCCCTTGTATATAACTACTTGCTTTTCTCTTGTGGCTTTTAGGATTCTTTCCTCATCTTTAAGCTTTGTCATTTTAATTATGATGTGTCAAGGTGTAGGCCTCTTCGGCCCAACTTGTTTGGGACTCTGTGAGCTTCCTAGACTTAATTCTATTACAAACCTGACCCACAAAATATATGTACTAATTCTGTCTCAGCCGCCCAATGTCAAGTGAATGCATAACTTGCCTTTCAAATATATACCTATACCCATTGTTGTTTGAGAGACTATTAGAGATATTAGCTCTATAACTATGACCACCATGATGCCACAATGGTTAGGGGCTCAAATTCTAAAGAGATATTTATATTTACCATGAAAACTCAAAATCTATTTCCTTGTTATTTCTAAAATTATCCTAGTACCTCCATCCAGTTTTGACATTGTCAATATGGACAATGTCCTTTCTTCACAAAAACACAAGTGCATGCAGTGAAGGAATCCTAGACACTGAAAAAATGACTCATCAATGTTAACTAGCAATGCCCTGGCCCTATCATTATTTACTAGTCAGACATTAGGGTCCATGCTTACAGAATTCTTAAAGGATATTTTCCTGCAAGAGGGGTTAGCTACACTCTTCATCTCAAAATAATCATTAAAAATAAATAATCATACTTCACAAGCAATATAAAGATTCCTTCTTTAAAAATTAGCCTCATCCCTTTTTTATGTTTATATTTTACATTTTGTCAAAAATGTATTTCACAATCTCTCTCTCCTTTACAATTCTTAAAATGCTATACAGTAGCAAAGTTCATGTCACAGCAAGAATTAAATGTTTTCTCAGCAAGTGTATGGCCTTTGCATGATATAATATGTTATGAAAAAGTGTTATATACCTTCAATGAAAACAAAAGCTCTGATTTCTGTCTATGTCTTTATTTACCAGTTACAAAGAGAATGCTATGAGGTTATCAAGAATTCAACACGATCAACCTATAAAGCCCCTGGATCGAGCAGTCTTCTGGATCGAGTTTGTCATGCGCCACAAAGGAGCCAAACACCTTCGGCCAGCTGCTCACAATCTCACCTGGTTCCAATACTACTCTTTGGATGTGATTGGGTTCCTGCTGACCTGTGTGGCAGCTGCTGTATTTTTGGTCACAAAATGTTGTTTATTTTCTTGTCGAAAAGTTGTTAAAACAGGAAAGAAAAAAAAGAGGGAATAAATCATTTCCAGTGTGATGAAGGCCTGAATGGGCAATCCTTTTCAGTTTCACCACAATGACCTAATGAAAATATATCATGCTTTCAAAATTTCTATTTTTTTCTAACTTAGTCCATAGGTTGGGCCAAGAATTGGACAATATCATTAACTAGCAAGCATGTCCCATTCTTTCTTTTTCTTTTGTCAGATGGTATTACCCCCTTCCTCTCACTTTCCTGACATAGGGACATTAATAATTTTATGTATATTCTATACAAAATATCAAAACTTTATTTTTAACCCTAAGCAATATGCTACTAATAATATGCTAAATTCTGGGGAATTAATAAAATATGAGTTAAATTAGATGGATATAAAGGACACAACGTAGGAAAATAAAATTCACAAGAGTCCTCTGGAACATACAAGTCAGGGAAACATCATAGAAGATTAATATGTTATAAGAAAGGTAGTTATTTTTTTCATAAAATTAAGCCTTTCTGCTTGCCTAATATTACTGGGGTCAGAATATAAATTGATAACTGGGATAGTACATCACACTCAGACAAGTCTACAAATTTCCATTGAACACATACATAATCATGACTTATGTTCCACCTTGGGTACCCTTTAGTGCAAAGGTCTGGGCATTACCTTCAAACAAAAGTGAACAATTAAGTCATCATTTTTCTCAAGGACAGAGAATATAGCAATAATTAAAGGTAAACAGATCACTTTGGAGAAAATAATATGAAATACAGAAAGAAATTAGTAATTTTATAAAATTTTAGTTAATGGTACAATTAATAAACTTAAAGTTAATTCATTATATTTAAATGTTAATTCATTATATTTAAAATCACTAATGCTCATAATATATAATTACTGTAATCAAGATTTAGCTTTTTGTCAAAAGACAAATACCTCTTTACTTGGAATGTAAGATCATTACATTATTTTTTGTCTCTATCATCTATAAATTTAAATTAATCAATTGTTATCATAAGAAAATAAGATATTAGCAGATCTTCTTGCCCCCAAATATTATAGTAATAATTTATCAATGCAAAAAACTAATTAAAGGCAAATGTTCATATTTGAATCAGCTTAGCATTAATTTAACAAATATATTAAAGTTTGAACTTTCTTTCCCCTTTATAAACCTAATGACATGTCTAATTAAAGATTTAATTTCAATATCTGATATGTAACTAAGGAGATAAATAAATGATATCCATTGGATTACTGATAATTTTGAAATTGTTATTCATTTCAATATGGTACATTAGAAATTACTTCTAATTTAAAAATAAGTGTATCATGACAGCATAAAAGTATTTCTTCAATATATTCATACTGAATATTCAAATAAATGCTACAAATTGTCTTTTATTTGACAAATTATCTTTTATAGTTATATTTGCTAGGAAAACTGTCATATTTTGTTTTTATAACTTCACCTATTTCTATTTCTGTTTTTTCAATTCTTTTTTATTTTTACTTTTTTTAATATATTTTCAAAGGCTACTTGAAATTTTAATTATTTTTTATAATTTTTTTCATTTCATTTGTTCTTCTGATTGAAAATACTCAAACATATCTCTATTATTTTAGTTACATAGTTTTAAAAATCAAGACTATTTTTTACCATACTACTTAACAATAGAAGAATGTTCAAATATATTAAGACCATGCCACATTCAAATTTATATGCCTCTAGGCTTGAATTGGGCCAGTTTCCTTTTTTTGTTTTTAACCTTTAATATCACACTTATTCCTTTGAGTATCTCACCTAATTAAATAATTTTGTTAATTATTTGTATGACTAAAATTTAGTCATACTAAATTTTGTATGACTATAAAATTTAGTCATACTAAATTTTACTATAAAATTACTGTAAAATTACTGTAAAATTTATATTTCTTATGTTTATCTATACTGTACTCCAGACTTACAAGTCCAACTGCTATATTTTCATCTATGTTAGGATGTTCACATTTTTAATATTATTTTAATTCATTTATTCTTTTTAAGGTTTCTTTATTTCTAGAGAGGGGAGAGGGAGGGAGAATGAGAGGGAAGAGAAACACTGATGTGAGAGAGAAATGTCCATCAGTTGCCTCTCGTATGAGCCCTGACAGGGGACAGAACCCACAACCCTGGCACGTGCCCTGTCAGGAAACAGAACCAGCGAACTCTCACTTTACAGGACTGAGCCACACTAGTCAGAGCTCACGTGTATTTTAAACATTTGATATTTGAAAGTGATCTGCTTTTACCCCACCCCAACAAGTTCTCCTGAAACTACCCCTATTTCAGTTAAAAATCAACTCGGTCTTTCCAGGTACCCACGTAAAAAATACTGGGCTCATTATCTCTTTCTTTTATAATTGTCCAACAATATCTGTCAGCATTACCTCACAATACAGGGTGCGGCAAAAGGTGGTCTATGGTTGTTCATATGGAAAATAATACAATAATTAATAAATAATAATACATGAATAAACTATTTTGCGTACTCACAACTGTAAAGCTACTTTTACCCTATCCTGTATATTTAGAATTTGCACCCTATTCTTCAGCTCCATGGTTTTTCCCTGGTTGAAAGTACCTTTGTCTCTCACCTGGAATAAAATGATAGACACAGCAGTATAAGCTTCAGTAAAACAATAGGTACACTATCATGCTTCATGTTGCATAGAAGTGTATTTCTAATCTAAATGTCTTAAGGGAGGAAGAAAGCTCTACCAAAAAGTGCATCCACATATAAAGGAAACAATTATCTCATTTTGATGTGCCTTCATCACTTAGGATGTTGTTCTTGCCTATTTATTTAGGCAAGGACACCTATAAGCTAACTCAAGATATTAAGGCAATTAAGTATATTTTCCTGTTTAAGTCATGTGATCAAGATACTGTGCAAAGAGTGCTCACCTGCTTTTGAAAAGAACTTAGTAACATGGTCACACCTAAAAAGCCTAGTAAAAGTTTTCTCTAGATACCCATCTACCTAATATCTAATATCTAAAATATTAGTAATTACTAACCACTGAAGCCCCTTTTCCTGTTGCCTTTTGCCTTATTTACAGCAAAGCATTTCACCATGTGTTCAGGCTATTTCCAAAAATTCTTTGAAATTAAAACAATCTCATTTAAATTATTATGCAATCTTAGAGAATGTAGTCATTAAATAAAAATATACACTTGGTATATCAAAACAAATAAGTTACTGATTATTAACTATTTTTTATAGATTAGTACATTGCATTTATAATTCAATTGTTTGCAAATAATAACTAAAGGAAATGATTATTAGTCACTTATAATTCATTCTTTAATCCACAATACCTCAAGTATAACATTTCAAATAAACCTTATGTAATAAACTTTTGTTTAAAGATTTTTTAAAGATTTTATTTATTTATTTTTAGGGAGGGAAGGAAGGGAGAAAGAGAGAGAGAGAGAAACATAAATGTGCGGTTGCTGGGGTCTGTGGCCTGCAACCCAGGCATGTGCCCTGACTGGGAGTCAAACCTGTGGTACTTTGGTTCACAGCCTGCATTCAATCCACTGAGCTATGCCAGCCAGGGCTACTTTTAGAATACTTGCTATAAATATAGTGGTCCATCAGGAGATGCGAGGAGATTTGACTCATGAGAATGAAATAGTCTGATATTCGAAAATCCTTCAAGCTTTTGTCCATATGTCCTTTTTATACGAACAAAAACTAGGGGCGGGTGGAAATGGGAGGGATGTAGGGAGGATTGGGTGGGTGGGCTGGGATGGGAGTAAAAGATATAAAATTGTACTTGAACAACAATTAAAATGAAATTAAAAAAAAACACCTTCAAGCATATGAGTCAATCAGAGACTATAACAAGATGAAGACAGAAATACACCCCTTACTGCACTCAGGAACCATTGATAGTGATTTGTTGCAAATATGGTGAGACTAACTTATTATTTTAATTTTAATTGTGGGGAAATGTGCTTTCATTTCATTAATATTTTGGAGTTGTGGTTAAGTTTTTGGTTGACATTCTCATAGTGAAAGTAAAATAATATGTACCCATATTTTTCAGACTATAAGACGCACCCCCCTCAAAAAATTTGGGAGGAAAATGGGGGTGCATCTTATAGTCCAAATGTAGCTTACCTGGCTTGCTGTGGGGGGGTGATGGTGGAGTGGGGTCACAGGTTATTAAATATTTTATCACATTTTTGCTTCAAAATTTTTTTCCTATTTTCCTCTTCTAAAACCTGGTGTGTCTTACGGTCCGGTAGATCTTATAGTCCTAAAAATACAGTGACTATTTTTTTTTCTATCCTCCTCTTTACCTTACTCCATCTTTTTTTCCCTCTTTCTTATTTTTATTTCTATCTCACATTATTTCTCCTTCTTTCCTTCCTTCCATCCTTCTCTCCTTCCCTACCTTCATTTCTTTATCTCTCCCTCCTTCTGTCCTATTATTTTTTTAATTGTTTTTCAAGTACAATTGTCTCCATTTTCCCCTCTCCACTCCCCACCGCCCCATCCACCCCTGCCTCCCACCCTCGATCCTACCCCCTTTGGCCTTGTCCATATGTCCTTTATACATGTTCCTTGATGGCCCTTTTCCTATTTTCCCCATCATACCTCTCCTCCTTCCCCTCTGGTTACCATCAGTCTGTTCTTTATTTCAATGTCTCTGACTTATATTTGGCTTGCTTATTTGTTTTGTTGATCAGATTCTGCTTGTCCTATTATTGTTTAATGCCTCTTTTCTATTTACATCTATAACCATAATTATTCTAGAAGAACTAAACTTAGTTTTACTTTAATAGCTTTAGCAGTAAGCTAATGGTAAAATTTTCCCATTTTAACTTACATGCTAATTGGGTCCACTTAACTCTTTTTTCATTTCTTTAGGGAGACCCACTGAATTATGTGAGACTTGGGAAAAGTAAAAATTTGGCTAATCTGAACATATTGGGATATTAAATTCCTCATTTATATTTACATACTTTTCAGTCTGTTGGAAGACTGAACTGCACACCCACCAAAATTTTACTGAAGGTAGGCCTATTACAGTGGAGTTTTTAATATCACTTATTGTTTGACAACTTGTGATATTCCTTTAAAGAATATAACCTGATAACAGTGACATGCTACTACAAATTTTGATTTGCATCTCCAAACCATCTTACACAGCACAGAAGATCTTCTAAGAATTATTAGCTCAGATGGACATAATATCAAGAATTTTAGCTGAAGCATGACATGAATGAAGTAGCATCTTATAAATGCCAGTGGGATTAAAGTTAGATTATAGATTGTAGACATAGAAAAGTACAACCACACAGATCACTAGGGAGACTGCTTTAGTAATCTTGGCAAACATGGCTGAAGTCAGAAGGAAGGTATTTACCATTATGGTAGAGAGATCAAGACACTTTCATGAGACACTCTAGGGTAGACTCAAAGGTCTGGTAAATAAAAGAAGTTAAGTATTCAGAGAAAAGGAGGAATTAAGGTGGACTACTGGATTTATAACTTGTGTGTTTGTTTGAATATTGATGGTTTTTAATGAAATAGGGAACAGTTTAGAGGGACAACTTAAGTAAGATGAATATGTTCTCTTTCAGCTTTATTTATTTCAAAAAATCAAAGCAATATTTAGGTGGAAAGTTTTACAAATCATTTGGAATATAGTCAGTCATATTTTAATAACTATGTACAGTGTCAGATGGGTACTACAATTATCAGGGTGATCATTTTGTAAGTTCTATAAATGTCCAGTCACTGTAGTAAATCTAATGTTGTAAATCTGAAACTAATATATTGTATGCCAATGGTAACTGAAGAGTAAAAAATATTATTTTAAAAAAGAAATCATTTGGGTAATACAAGGTCTCAATCTCAGCAAACAACAAAAGAAATATATCAACAGCATAAAAGAGACCACAGAGACCCAATCATTATGTTCATTATTTGCCAGCATAATGGCCAGTTTGGGGAAGTAATAAAGACAATTGCATAACACATTCTAAGTCTTCCAAGAAATGTGGAGTGGTAGGGATTTTTGAAGGAAACAGTAGTAAGGAGGAAAAGACAGTAATAGATAAATATAGTAACAATACTGTACTTAGCAATCAGTAAGAACTAAAGGGAAACACTATCTTTTACTTGGGTTGCAGGAGTATGAGCAAAATCTCTTCTAAGAATGTTGCAAGGTGAAATGTTCCCAGAAGAGCACTTGATTTCTGTTTATGGTAAAAATGTATATTGATGTTTGAAATTTTATTCAAGATTCTGAATATCCTTTTTATTCCAGTCAAGTTATAACTGCAACCCAACCTCTACTGAGAGATGCTGTTATAATGACTCAATATGTATTAGATATACAGAACGAGATATGACATTTTTCCTGGCTCTCCAGATAATATCCCAGTCTGTAATATCATATTTACTCTTCTACTCTCACTTTTCACACATGCACAGACAAATAACACAATGAACCATAATTCTTACAAAGTCATCTCACATAAGTGATGCAAGATGGAAAAAAAAGTCCCCTTCCTCCAAAATTCATCTATTAATATAAAAGCTCATACAGTATGAGTGCCTATCATGAGTTACAGCTCTTCTGAAAAAACTTGGATAATGTAGGAGGTACAGATTGTTTACTGAATGTGTTAATGTAAAAGGAATTATGTTGATGTATATTATTAGTATAGAGGGATAGATAGATGAGTAGATGGATGAATAATGACTTCATATCTTCAAATATTATAATCTGCCTAAATCTGAGTATCCAAGGGGCATATAAATATTTTCATGGAGTTGTCTTACTAAATCAGTCACTTCAGGAAAAATCTGAAAGATCAGTGGTCCCCAAAGTTTTTGGCATAAGAGGCCGCTTTCATGGAAGACAATTTTTCCACAGATGGGGCAAAGGATGGTTTCAGGATGATTCGAGCTTATTACATTTATTGTGTACTTTATTTTTATTATTATTACATTATAATATACACTGAAATAATTCTACAACTCACTACATGCTAGGGTTAGCATGTAGGCTTACCAAAACTGTGACTTAGACAAGTGTGCAGTGAGGAAGAGATGTGGATGAAAATAATGAGTGGGCCACGTGCAGACCAAAATAAGTGTTGGATTCTGACTTAAAGCCTGCCACCAGATGCATCTGTACAATTGAAATATATAAACTCACTTGCTACTATAAAGCCTACCACCTGACGCACCTTGTTGGTTGCCACTCACTAAAAGGGTTTTGATATATATCTGCAAATAATTGATTTATTATGGTCTCTGTGTAGTCAAACCTCTCTGCTAATGATAATCTGTATTTGCAATCACTCCCCAGTGCTAGCATCACCCCTCAGCTCTACCTCACATCATCAGGCATTTGATTCTCATAAGGAACCGCAGCCTCGTCTGTAAAGTTCACAGTTGGCTTCCTGTTCTTAGAATCTGTCACCACTGCTGATCTGACAGGAGGCAGAGCTCAGGTGGTAATGTGAGGAATGGGAGTGGCTGTCCATATAGATGAAGCTTCACTTGCTTACCCACTGCTCACCTCCTGCTGTGCAGCCTGGCTCCCAGGGACTAGGGGCCCTGTAATAGGTCAAATTGATTCCTAAACCTGCCACTAATCTTGTGTATATTTTATCTTATGCTGTTTTCAGCTTTTTGGTCTTTCAGGTAGAAATAATATTTCTTTACATCTTTGTACAAAAGTATATGTCTTTGCTCTTATGCATTGTTTTCAGTCTCAGATTTAATCAATAATTACAAATTTCTACTATATTCTTCACATTTAGTATTTTCAGTCCATGTTTCAGGCTTTTATGGTCCCATGTTTAAGTTACTGAATACACATTTTTAATCAGTTTCCCTTCTTTCAAGTTCTTGCCTTTATATGCCATTCTATGTTTAGCAACCAGAACTGTTTGCGAAAAAAATAATAATCTTGTGATTGCCCTTTTTTTAAATTTCAGTAAATAAATTTTACCTTTAAATTAAAATCCAAACCATTCAAGACCACCTATTATCCCATGTTTCATTCTAAAACCTACTGCCACAACTTTCTCTGTGGTCATTACCCACCAGAGTGCTATCCAAATACCCATGAATTTTTCTCATTCCTCTACTCATTTGAAATCTGTCCTTTTGCCACACTCTGCCTACCAAGGCTTTCATCTCAGCTTATATGTTATCTACCTCACTAAAGCTATTTCCAATTATGCCATAGAGGACTGTGTCTTCCCTCAGGAATTCTGAACACCCTGTACTATTCATATTACTCTTATCAAAGTATTTCCCATGTGTATCAAAGCAAATTGTTTGCTGTTTCACACAGGGAAAAGTTGTGTACCATGTCCTCACTTAAAAACCACTTGACACCTGCAAACAGAGTAGAATGAATGTTGGGGTGTGTGTGTGTGTGTGTGTGTGTGTGTGTGTGTGTGTTTCTGTATGTGAAATATTTACTTTAGGGTTTTTTGTTATTTTCCTTATTGACAGCCTAGAAAATAAATTTCTCTTTATTTAATGTATTTCATTTTTAAGTTCTAGAGATTAAAATAGTTTCTCCCAGGTGTTTTTTATTTCTGTTTTATTACCTCAGTAAATATCAACCTTGAACGTAACACATGAACATTTTACTTATAAAGTTAATTTTTAACTTACTATGTGTCTTAATTGCCATTTGGTCTCTGTACTCAGTAGAAATACCCTAAAACCTCTGCAGACCAGTTTGTGGCAGAGCTGCTGCCATGGTACCTAAGAAGTGGGCTTTGGCAGTTCTGCTGCTGCAACTCTGTAGTGCTGGCTGTGGATTCTGTGGGAAGGTCCTCGTGTGGCCCTGTGACATGAGCCATTGGCTTAATATAAAGGTCATTCTGGAGGAACTTACAGAGAAAGGACATGAGGTAACAGTGTTGACTTTTCCACATACTAAGCTCATTGATTACAGGAAACCCTCCCCTCTGAACTTCGAGGTATTGCCTTCAGAAGTTCAGAAAGAATCAGTGGATAATGTACATGACAAGTTTCTGGACCTAATTCTTAATGTCTTGCCAAACTTAGAACCTTGGCAATCAACGATAAAATTGAACAATTTTTTTATTGAAACAACTGAAATTTTAAAAATTATGTGTGAGGGTGCAGTCTATAATCAGACATTCATGAAGAAGCTCCAGGAGACCAACTACGACGTAATGCTTATAGACCCTGTGCTGCCCTGTGGAGAGCTGATTGCTGAATTACTCAAAGTCCCTTTTGTGCTCACGTTAAGAATATCTACAGGAGGCATGAAGGAGAAACACTGTGGGAAACTGCCAGCTCCACCTTCCTATGTTCCTGTTCAGATGGTGGCACTAACAGATCAGATGAGCTTTCTGGAAAGAGTAAAAAACACAATGCTTTCAGTTTTCTTTGACTTCTGGATCCGGGATTATGACATTCATTTTTGGGACCAGTTTTATAGCAAGGCATTAGGTAAGAGATTCTGCTTTTTATTTTAAAGTTATCAAAATAAATTTAGAAATCTAAGTAGATGAAAGGAGTATATTTTAAAATATCTGTCTTACAATTGAAATTCTACCAGTGAAAACAATCAACTGGCTATCAAAAAAGGTGAGTAGAAATGGGAATAAGAAATCTTTTGCCATGATTACTCTGTCTTTAAAGTCATCATACCACTTCTCATAAGATTACTTGATACTTGTTAGGTTCCTGCCCAAAATAATATAAAACATACAAAAATGTTAATCCTCTAGATGGAATATTTGTCCTATCTGGATATTACATAGAAGTCCAGTACATTAAGTTTCCATATTAGAGGAAGTTATAGCCACTCTTGGGAAAGAGAAGATAATGTTTATTCCAAGAGTAAGATAATATACTTGACTGACACCAGTAATAAACTAAAATATTATTATTAATAAACAAATTATTTAATTTACCTGAATCTGCTCCAAAAATTCTTGATAGTTAGTGATGATTACCCTCATTCTTATACCATTTTCACTGGAGCAGGTGCCAACCATTATTATCCCTCTCATAAACTTTATTTTTTTGATTGCCATTCAAGTACAGTTGTCTCCATTTTCATCCCACCATGACCCCATGCCCCATCCATCCCCACCTCCCACCCTCAAACCAACCCCTCTTTGGCTTTGTCCATGTGTCCTTTATACATGTTCCTTGACGGCCCTTCCCCTAATCTCCCCTTTATCCCTCTCCCCCCTCCTGTCTGGTTACTGTCAGTTTGTTCTTAATGTCAATGTCTCTGGTTATATTTTGCTTGCTTGTTTGTTTTGTTGATTAGGTTCCACTTAAAGGCAAGATCATACGGTATTTAGATTTAAGTAAAAAATACAAGAATATTGGCTCAATTCTACCATCAGAGGTAATTGTAAACTGTAATATGTCACTGTCACATTTTGGTATAACAGGATTATGAGTAAAGACCTTTGAAAAATCTCAACTTGAGAAAAAGAGGACAGAAGCATTATCTAAGGAGAAGTGAGAAAAAGAGCATCTTCTATTAAGCAAAAATTATACTGCCCATGCATTTAGGTAATCCCTAAGAAGTCCTTAAAATTAAAAACCATCTCACTTGACTCACTGAGTAGCTTAACATAGTAGGTTCATATGATAATAATACCTACTTGGTAACTAAAATTTAACCCTTTAGCCCTGGCTGCTGTGGCTCTGTGGATTGAGTGCTGGCCTGTGAACCAAAGGGTCACTGGTTCAATTCCCAGTCAGGGCACATGCCTGGGTTGCAGGCCAGGTCCCCTGTAGGAGATGCATGAGTGCAACCACATGATGTTTCTTTTCTGCTCTTTCTCCTTTCCTTCCCCTCTCTCTAAAAGTAAATAAATAAAATGTTTTCAAAATATTTAACTTACTAATTAAATATATATGCATGTACATATATTATACATACACAATATAATTAGAATGACCTATTCTGATTATATAACTCAATTTTATGCAAATTGTATAACTAAATGGGGTATTTGTTGATTTTATTTTACTGTTTTATGTCTGTAATTACTCATATGTAACATTTCAAATATAATTTATAAAATTATTTAATTTTATATTTAAATTCACTTTCTCTTTCCCTCTATCCCATCTATACTCATTATTGTGAATCATTACTTTAAATATAGAATGGTCTTAACTGCTTTAAGTTCTTTCTTTCTAAAATGAAGCTAAGGTCATATAAACCACATCACCTAGTGAGAAAAATGATTTCAAGTGAAATAAGAGAATGACTAATAAAAATATCACCCCAAAGTTTGTAATCATACAGGATTTGAATGTCAAAAAATTAGGCATCTAGACAGCAAAATCACATTAATTCAGAAATTAAGAAATGGAGTTCTAACGTAATCTCTGGCAATTTCAAACTGAGTGTCTTTGCGCAGTTTCTTTATTATCAAATTATAGCCATTGGACTATATGGCATTAGGTAATATATCAAATACTAAAAAGTGATGACTCTAAAGTGAGGCTTAACTCCCAGGGTATATGTTACCACCAACTTTGATTAGGATCCTAAAGTGAAAAGGATTCTCACCTTGGTGTTTTATGCTTTCTCTCAGTTACAAAAAAAAAAAAACAGTATTTTTTGCAAATAGAAAGTATTGAGTTGGTTATTTGAAATCAGTCATTATTGTACATAATGTGTGTAAAATTAATACCTTCAATGTGTCTCCTTGAACACACTTCAGTAAGGCAACAGTGTAGCAGTGAGTGATAATTGTGGTATATAGTTATGTACCACATATCTTCAAAAGAGGGACATCCTGAGTATGAATTACTCAGAAAGTTCTTACTAATAAAATAGTGGCCCATTAAGGCCCTGCCTCCAAGATGGTGGTACCTAGTGCATGAGGCTGTGGCCTGCCTCTGCTCAGCCTTGAATTCTAGTGCTGATGGTGTTTTGGGGGGCTATGGACCAGCCTGGGTCCATGACCTCTCTGATGCAGCTACCTTTATTATCACTTACGAATATATGAAATGGTTTTTGCATGCTGATTCATCTTCATATCTGATGCCTGCGAAGCACACATTGGCTACCTCTGCCAGAAAAGTGGCATCATGCCTGATTTGAGTTCCTTCTGAAGTAGTTAAATAGAGGCCACAGGTTTCTACTTCTTCGAGAACATTTCAAATTTTATCTAACATCTTTTATCAAAAAAGCATTCAAGGACTGCATTGAGGCTACACAGCACAGTTTTGAGAGAGATTCCTTTCTCTTTGGTCCAGTTTCCCTTACAGTTGTCCTTAAAATCCCTCTTGTCCTGGAGGCAGGATCAGATGGTGGATTCTTGGTAGTCAACAGTCTGCGGACCTTTTGCAGGTGGACTCTCAGCTGCAGTCACCACACCTCTGGATGTGGTAAAAACAAGAATCATATTGGAAAAGGCTTGTTCTAGCACTGCTAGTAGGAATGTCATCTCTGCCCTGCATGGAGTCTGGTGGATATGGGGACTGCCAGGAATATTTGCAGGTATCTTCCCTTGAATGGAAGCAATTAGTCTGGGAAGTTTCATATTTCTTGGTGCGTATGACCAATCACTCAGCTTTCTGTTGGAACTTGGCAAAGAGAGCCTGTGAATTCCACAACCTCTCATCCCCTTATTTCAGAAGGGGCCATGCTGTGAGTGCTGCTCCCATCTGGTAAGCAGTCCTTCTCTGGCTGAACCATGAAACGCAGTGCTGAATCCAGCTCTGTGGAGTTCCCATGAAGAATGTGTCTTCCATGCTACAGGCTGACAAGAATGATGTCATCAGTGTACTTGCCAGAAAGTTAAGAAACAGAGAAAATGATGTCCACATCGGTACTTTGCATGGCTTTTCTCAGAACCCCTTAATAAATAAATTTGCTGATGCTGAAAAAATAGTGGCTTATCAATTGAAGTAATGAAATATAATTCAAGGATAAGGTGGATTGATATTGATAGGATCCTACAATAACATGAGTAATCCTGAGATTAAAACATTTTGGGTAGGGGAGGGAGGAAGCTTGGACATATTCCTGACTGGAAGACGAGAAATCATTGAGAAGTGATTTAGTGTGGATATTGTAGGATTAATCCATCATCTGCCATTTGAGAGGAAAATTAGTAATACATCCATTTATACAGTACTTTGGAGTTGTGGTTAAATGTTTGGTTTATTTTACCTTGAAAAGAAAGTAATAACCCCATTTTGCCTTGTTTTTACTTTCTTTTGTGTTTATTTCTTTTTTTCTTTCTTTAATACCGTGTTGTTGTATTAATGCCCCTTTTCATTTCACATTTAGAAGCTACATTATTCTAGAAGACTTAAACTCATTTTTCCCTTGATAACTAATCATCAAATTGGTGGTGCAATTTTTCCATTTAACTTATAGTCTAATTCCTTCTACCCAACTTTAAACAAACTTTTTTCCAGGAAGACCCACTACATTATGTGAGACTTTGGGGAAAGCTGAAATTTGGCTAATTCGAACATATTGGGATTTTGAATTTCCTCGTCCATACCTACCTAATTTTGAATTTGTTGGAGGATTGCATTGCAAACCTACCAAACCATTACCTAAGGTAAGATTATAACATTGAAGGATTTTATGTACCTTATGATATGATACCTGATTTCCATTTAAAGGTTACAACCTTAATAACAGAGACAATCTTAATAACAGAGAATATCTTTGTATGGCCAATTTCATTTTCCATGTCAGAAAGGTTCTTGTGGTATTTATGTGTATTTTAAGTGTTATATTGGGAAATGAAGCTAAAATTGGCATGATTGAAGCACATCTCAAAATATTACTGTGTTTATAGTATGGATAATTTATAGGAGTGACAGGAAGTTGGAACTATGAAACCCACTGAGGATACTGCTATAGTCTTCCTCACAAGCATAATAAAGTTAAGGCATTTTTCATGGTGGTAGAGAGATAAACATGCCTTCATGAGACAATACAATAAAGAAGACCCCTTGATTTCCAGTCTGCATGTTTATTTGATAGTGATGCCTTCTATTGAAATAAGAAACATGAAGCAAAATTTACTTGAAACTAATACAACGAGTCTATATTGTGACTACTCACTTACAGGAGCAAGCAGAATTTTTTAGAAGTCATTCAGGTAATACAAGGTCTCAGTGTCAGTATACAATAAAGGAAAGATTGGAGGCCATCAGCATAAAGTAGAGTTCATGAAAATGAGAGACCTAGTCTTGGCCTGATTCTTTACAACCTAATGAAGGTGTTTTTTTTTTGTTTTTTTTGTTTTTTTTTTATGAAAAAGATAATTGTATACCACATTCTTAAGGCTTCAAAGAAAAAATGTAGAGTGTTGGGGATTTTGGAAGGAAACAGCATTGAGAAACAAATGGGTAATTGATGCATGGGTCACCGGCCAGCAGTGATCATGGAACGCTGCGGATGGCTCGACGATATGCGAGAAAAAAACATGCACAGAGACAGACTAGTTTCTGTGGAGAAGTAGGGACGGAATGGCCACCCCCTCTAGTGGGGAGCGCGCTGATTTACCATCCAAACCTGCTTTTATTGGGCTCGTTTTGCATAATAATTCAGGTAAAGTACAGTACTCGTCAGGAGGAAGTAAGGAACCATAGAAAAGGAAGTCTGAGGGTCTATTTTGAGTCAGGGTCAAAGAGCTGTAAGACTTTGAGGAACAAACTAACTTCCTCCTTAGACCCTTCTCATTCAAATGAGAGCATTCTAAGCAAAGAAGGTTTCACAGTAATTTACATGTTCTTTCTTAGGCCTGATCACCAGGGGAATCCGCCCTTTTCAGCACAGAGCTGCACCACCCTGTCATTGTTTCAGGCTTAGGTGGAGCAAGGGAACTAAGGCAACGAGAGATAAGGAGATTTTCTCCCAGATGCTGAGGACTCAGGCTATGTCAAAGCCGAGGAGTGAGGGTCCGTCACCCCCTTTTGCTGTAGCCCCCAAAGTCCTTCTTTGGGGGGCCTCCCATGTGATCATGCCTGTCTTAGGTCATTCACCCCTTGGGGAATCTTACCCATCTTTGGCTAACCGAACAAGCTCTGGGGTTCAGTTATGAATGAAGTAGCAGAAGCAGCACTCCTGCCAGGGAGATAAGCTTTTGTCTCCTTGCTGGCTTATGGTTCCAAGGGTGTTCCCTCAGCCTTAGCCTAGGCGGGGGTTACAGCTTCTGATACCAGGCAGGGCGGTTCCCAACAGGTAATACATAAGTATTACACAGGCACTGTATTGAACTATCAATAGGGAATGGGGAAGAAAGCCCTCATTTACTTTTACTGTGAGAATATTAACAAAATCCCTTTAGGAAGTTTGCAGGGTACATGGTGTTCCCAGGGGAATTCTTGATTTATTTTGTGGTAAAGTATATATTGATGAATGATATTTCATTTCAGAATCATAAATATCCTTTTTCTTACCAATCAAATTATGAGTATAGTTGCAAATCAAGTTCTATTAAGACTTGGTATAATGGACCAATATCTAACTTGAGAAATCAAAACAAAAGAGGTAGCAATTTCTATGGCTCTCTAGATAATCTCCAATGCCAAACTCATTTTTACCCTATCATTCCCACTTTTACACACACATACACACTCATTGCCACACACACAAAACTGCATGATTTCACAAAATCAGCTCAGATAAAATGAAAGGAGGACATTTATACCCTTTTAAATTCAACTTACTTATTGATAAGGAGATTGTGCAGTATGAATACCAATCATGGCTTATGGTTGTTACAGAAGACTTATTCCAGTCACTGAATATATAGATTGAAAAACAATGGTAAGGTAAGAAGCCATTAGTTTTGAGTGTTTGAGGTGTGGCAAATGCCTTTCCTCTTAGGAAAGGAAGGCTTGAACAGAGACTGCTGTCCAGACTGGCAGGGTCCATCATGGAGCCACAGCAGATGCTGGAGGGACATATGCAGATTGCAGAAAATCCTCTCTCTGAGTACGATCTCACAGATAATGCTGAGAGGATAGTAGGAAATGAGAATACTAATAGGGAAAATTCATCAATACAGAAAGTGGATCTCCAGTCTTTGCCACCTTGAGCCTACCTGGATCAGACTGTTGTGCCTATCTGGTTACAGGAATTGACTGTGCTGGCAAAGGAAAACCCACTGAATTCCATTGAATTTCTAGCATCTTATCTTTTAAAAAAATAAGGCACAGTGTAAAGATTGCAACTGACTTATTGGGAAAGACAGGAAAAAAACAATTTCTACTGTAGATTTACACGATTAAGAGGCAGCTTTGTGTGTGTGTGTGTGTGTGTGTGTGTGTGTGTGTGTAAAGCTTTTTATTTAAGTTTAGTTCAGTGGTAGAGTTTAGGATTGAGCATGGATAAAATTCTGGTTAGTTCTATACTTGAGAATGTTAATAAATAGACAAAGGATTGGCAGTGTGAATTTTCATTGTAAGCTTTTTTGTATTAATTGTTGTTCAGTACAGTTGTCTCCATTTTGCCCTCATTACTCACCTCAGCCCCATCCACCTCTGCCTCCCACGCTTGATCCTGCCCCCTTTGGCTTTGTCCATGTGTCTTTTAAACATGTTCCTTGACAACCCTTCCCCTATTTTCCCCCATTATCCCTCTCCTCCTTCCCTCCCCTCTGCTTACTGTCAGTTTGTTCTTTATTTCAATATCTGGTTATATTTTGCTTGTTTATTTCTTTTGTTGATTAGGTTCCCCTTATAGGTGAGATGATACGGAATCTTTCTTTCACCTCCTGGCTTATTTAACTTAGTGTAACGCTCTCCAGTACCATCTAGCAGTCGCAAAGTGTAGGAACTCCTTCTTTCTTTCTGTTGCATAGAATTCCATTGTGTGAATTTACCACAGTTTTTGATCCACTCACTTACTGATGGGCACTTAGGCTGCTTCCAACACTTGGCTATTGTAAATTGTGCTGCTATGATAATCAGGGTGCGTAGGTTCTTTTGAATTGGTGTTTCAGGATCCTTAGGATATAATTCCAGCAGTGGAATTGCAGGGTCAAAAGGCAGTTCCATTTTTAGTTTTCTGAGGAAATTCCATATTGTTTTCCAAAGTGGTGCACAAGTCTGCATTCCCACCAACAGTGTACTAGGGTTCCCTTTTCTCCACAGCCTTGGCAGCACTCATGGTTTGCGGATTTGGTTATGATGATCATTCTGGCCAATGTGAAGTGGTATCTCATTGCAGCTTCAATTTTCATCTCTCTGATGGTTAGTGAGGCTGAGCATCTTTTCAAATGTCTCTGGGATCTCTGTATATCCTCCTTGGGAAAGTATCTGTTCAGGCCCTTTGCCCACTTTTTAATTGTGTTGTTGGTCTTCCTGTAGTGGAATTGTGTGAGTTCTTTGAATATTTTACAGACCAAACCCTTGCCAAAAATATCATTCAGAAATATATTTTCCTATTAGGTTGGCACTCTTCTCATTTTGCTGGTGTTTTCTTTAGCCATGCAGAAACTTTTTATTTTGATGAGATCCCATTTGTTTATTCTTTCCCTTATGTCCCTTGCTCTAGGAACATATCAGCGAAAATATTACTATGTGAAATGTCTGAGATTTTCCTGCCTATGTTCTCCTCTAGGACTTTTATGATGTTGTGACTTATGTTTAAGTCTTTTGTCCACCTTTGGTTTATTTTTGTGTATGGTGTAAATTGGTGGTCAAGTTTAATTTTTTTGCATGTAGCTATCTGGATCTCCCAACACAATTTTTAGAAGAGGGTATTTTTACTCCATTTTATAGTTCTGTCCCCTTTGTCAGATATTAATTGATCGTAGAGACTTGGATATATTTCTGGGCTCTCTATTCTGTTTCATTGATCTATGTGTCTTTTCTTATGCCAGTACCAGACTGTTTTGATTACTGTGGACTTGTAATATAGTTTGATATCAGGTATTGTGATCCCTCCTACTTTGTTCTTCTTTCTCAAAATTGCTGTAGCTATTCATGGTCATTTATGGTGCCATATACATTTTTGAAATATTTGTTCTATATCTGTGAAATATATCATTGGTATTTTAATAGGGATTGTATTGAATCTATAAATTGCTTTAGAAAGTGTGGACATTTTGATGATGTTAATTCTTCCAACCCATGAACATGGTATTTGCTTCCATTTATTTGCCTTCCTTAATTTCTTTCTTCAGTTTTGTGTAATCTTCTGAATATAGATCTTTCACCACCTTGGAAAGGTTTATTCCAAGATATTTTATTTTCCTTGTTGCCATAGGAATTGGAAATTTTTTCCTGACTTCTGATTCTGATCTTTCAATGTTGGTGTATAAAAATGCCTTTGATTTCTGAATATTGACTTGGAACCCTGCTGTTTTGCCAAATTTGCGTCTTAGGTTGAGTAGTTTTTTGGTGGAGTCTACAGGGTTTTCTATGTAACACTATCATATCATCTGAAAAGTGACAGTTTTACTTTCTCCTTTCCAATTTGGATGCCTTTTATTTCTCTTTTATGTCTGATCACTGTGGCTAGGATTTCCAATACAATGTTGAATGGAAGTGGTGAAAGCAGACATCTTTGTCTTGTGTCTGATCTTAGTGGGAAAGCTTTTAGTTTTTGCTCATTGAGTATGATGTTGGCTGTAGGTTTCTCGTATATAGCCTTTATTGTGGTGAGCTATGTTCCCTCTACTCCCACTTTACTGAGTGGCTTTATCATAAATGGGTGCTGTACCTTATCAAATGCTTTTTCTGCACTTAATGATATGATCACATGATTTTTGTCTTTACTTTTGTTTATGTGATGTGTTACATTTACTGATTTGTGGCTATTGTACCATCCTTGTATCCCTGGAATGAATCCCACTTGGTCATGGTGTATGATCTTTTTAATGTATTTTTGGATGCGGTTTGTCAATATTTTGTTGAGGATTTTAGCATCTGTGTTTATCAGCGATATTGGCCTACAGTTTTCTTTTCTTTGTTATATCTTTATCTGGTTTTGGGATTAAGATGATGCTGGCTTCGTAAAAAGAATTGGGGAGATTTCCCTCTTCTTGGACTTTTTGAAATAGTCTGAGAAGAATAAGGATTAGCTCCTCCTTAAACGTTTTGTAAAATTCTCCTGTGAAGCCATCCAATCCAGGGCTTTTGTGTGCTGGGAGTGTCTTGATTACTGCTTCAATTTCATCAGCTGTTATTGGTGTTTTCAGGCTTTCTGCTTCTTCTTGATTCAGTTTTGGAAGATTATACTTTTCTAGAAATTTGTCCATTTCACCCAGGTTTTCAAATTTCTTGGAGTATTTTGTTCATAATAATTTCTTACAATCCTTTGTAAGTTGGTGGTATCAGTTGTAATCACTCCTCTTTCACTTTGATTTTATTTATTTGGGTCATCTCCCTTTTTTTCTTGATGAGTCTGCTTAAAGGTTTGTTGATTTTGTTTCTTTTCATAGAACCAGCTCCTGGATTCATTGATCCTTAGAATTGTGCTTTTAGTCTCTATGTAATATAATTCTGCTCTGATCTTGGCTATTTCCTTCCTTCTACTCAAAGAGGCAGCTTTAATTGGCATAATTCCCCCCCCCCCACTCCACTTTTTGGTAATGTAAGGAAATTCAGGATAACAATTTATTATTGGAGTTAAAAAAAAAACATTTCATTTATTTTGATTTAATCCCCATACTTAATGAATATATTCTGTGCAATTTTTCACAGATTTTTTTAATGTTTTTAAAATGACTTTCATTTTAAACTGTTACTATATCAAAAGCCATGATGAGCGGTCCTCAGATCAAGAACATTCACACATGAGCATTTATTCACACACACACACACACACACACACACACACACACACACAGATAAACATTTTATTCAAACTCCATGTGTTTGGGGAGGTGAATCAAAATAATTTCACAATAATTTCTGTTATGTTAGATATGTTCTTCCAACATTATTGAAGCTGACATTGTTAAGTTTGACATTGGCTCTTTTCTGATCATTTAATAGCCATTAATTGGGGAACATGTGAGTCCAAATCTACCACAAAAGATTTCACAAGGAATGCATGCTGCATGTCTACATGATGTCATTCTCATAGAACACAGTCTGACTGGTCCCAAACCCAGAGTTTCCCGTGGCAATTTGCACAACTCTAAATGGTGAGGCAGTTTAATTTACAGAAGTTAACTATGTATCAATTCTGTTCTAAGACTCAAATTAACAACATGCAGCTAGTGTCCACTTAGGTGGGAGTTTTATGCATCAGGAAGACATAATCACTGCCTCCTAAAAGTAATTTGTGATTATAGAATAGTTTAAGTATGTTATCTCCTTCTGTAATACATTACTATGTACCACAATTCTAACAAATATCTGTTTAGCACTATAAATGAAAGGACACCTATACATGAGAAAATTACCATTGAATGCGTATGTAAAAAAATAGGCACATCAACACAGTTATGATTGATTAGATGTAAACTGTCAGATACCAAATTCAGACCTATTTGGGGGCTTTCTTTTGAGGAATATTTTTATGAGTTTGCAAACTACTCATTTTTTGATAAAATTAAATCTGGTGAGTAACAGTGTCCATCAACCACAAAAAAGTATAGTATTCTTATCACCTAATCTGCTTGTATAATGGTTGACTCCATGGACATTCACTAATCAATGATTATGCATTTAAACCATGGACTTTATTTATTTATTTATTTATTTATTTATTTAAACTAAATTTATTGCAGTGACATTAATAAAATTATATAAATTTCAAGTATACAATTCTATGATACTTCATTTTTACATTGCATTATATACTCTCTCTAAAAGGGACTAGGTGTTTCTAGGTGTCAAAAAAAAATCTAACTATGCTTCTGATAATTCTTTTGAATATTTATTTTAGAATTGTAACTGAACTTTATTTCATTCCCTGTGATGCTGTACCTCTAATATAAAAAATTATTTTCTCTACAGGAAATAGAAAAATTTGTTCAGAGCTCAGGTGAAGATGGTATTGTGGTGTTTTCTTTGGGTTCTGTTGTCCACTATATCACAGAAGAAAAGGCCAATCTTATTGCCTCAGCCCTTGCCCAGATTCCACAGAAGGTTAGTGTACTTTTAATCCTGCTGGGAAGCTATTTACCAATTGGAGAGTGTGACTAGGTGTCTTTCAAAAGAAAAGTCAAATTTCATTTTACAGTTAACATATCAGGTAGCATACTAAATAAAAATTTGTAAATCATGAAATAGTGAGTGTAAACATATTTGAGCTTTGCCTGCTGAGCTTTGCCGTTACTATGGAACACCTCTTTTTAGAATCATTTGTTTTAGTGAAATAGAGATGAAAACATTAAGTGCATTGTTCATAAAATCAAGTATAAAGGACACATTGATAAAAAACTAGGGATGGGTGGAAATGGGAGGGAGGAAGGGAGGGGGCTGGGTGGGTGGGCTGGGATAAGAGTAAAAGATAGAAAATTGTACTTTAACAACAATTAAAATTAAAAAAATCTCCCCCCCAAAACAAAAATCTTAAGGCCTATTTTGACTACTCCTAAAGTAATTCTGAAGCACATTCACTCCCAGACCAGGAAAAGGGAGAATGAAATGACAAAAATAGAGATAAATCATACACAGGAATATACTTCATATCTTTATTTGTCTTAGGAGTTGATTCATCATAGCTGAGCATAGAAGTAGAAGCCTAGATTCATTTAATGTTTTTAGTGAGAGTTTTCTAGAATTAAAAGGCCATAGAAATTTTAATATTATAGTCTAGCAATTTGCATGTCCTAATTCTTATATTTAATTAATTTTAATGTTATCACCATTCTAGATTCTGTTATTTAAATAATTCTATTTATAAAAGATCTAAGAGCTCTTTTTATTGTATATTTGGTTAAACTCTATAAAATTATATTTAAAAATTCTATATAAAGGTGAACGTGATCATTGCAAAACCAAACTGGATGCTTCATTGAACTTAGGAATATAAAGCAAAAACACTATCTTATTCTTACTTGAATAAAAAGAGTTATGGAAGAAAAAAAGCTAGAAAGAAATTCAGGATGAAAAGATAATCAGTCACCCCAAAAGTAAGCCGAGAAAATCAAAAGCAATAATATTTGTAAGAAACACTAATTTGAAATTAGAGCTAGGAATGCCAGTGACATAATTTTATACAGAAGTCAGGTTGCCATAAAAATTTTAACTTTCAAATTCTGATTCATTAGGCTAATACACATTATTTTCTAATTCTTTGCTTATATTCTCACTCCCAAAAGTTCTTAAATGATAACAGACAAAACCATTATAGTATACTTAATATACAACTACCACAAATGGTTTTAAAAAGGTGGTTGTAAACAATCCCACTATTTCTTTCACTGTTTACAAAATACACCTTCACACTCCCTTCTCAACTGCAACCTTAGAGTAAATGCATGATTTATACATAACTCTACAACTTTAAAATGTCATCATCCAGTGAAATATATGCACTGTCTTTCACAGGTTTTATGGAGACACAGTGGAAAGAAACCAGCTACATTAGGAGCCAATACTCAGCTCTATGACTGGATACCCCAGAATGATCTTCTTGGTAAAACTATGGGGAAGAAAACTGTATATTGGTTGATGGACATGTTGTTAATTCTTTAATAGCTAACATTTGTGTAAAAACTAATATCAACAAATAGTTAACAATTGTAAATGTTTCTCATGTTAGCTCTAATTTTAAAAGATATAATTGATGATTTGACCATTAATGTTATAAATTCATACTTGCTATAATTCAAATAAGAATTTCAGGTGACACAGAGAGAACTAATGCCTCGTTTCCTAGGATAGCAATTTCCTATGGTAGCAGTGCCCTACAGAAAATACTGTAAAATACTGCCTCCTTCAGTAGTTTATCTCATAGATCTTCCTTTTCTGTATCTGAATTTCTGTTTACATGTTATAATGACATTTTCACCCACTTCTTATTCTATCCCCAAACCAGGTCATCCCAAAACCAAAGCTTTTATCACTCATGGTGGAATAAATGGGATCTATGAAGCCATTTATCATGGGGTCCCTATGGTGGGAATCCCCATGTTTGCCGATCAGTATGATAACATTGCTCACATGAAGGCCAAAGGAGCCGCTGTGGAAGTGAACATAAACACAATGACAAGTGCAGAATTGCTCAATGCCTTGAGAACAGTCATTAACGATCCTTTGTAAGTACTACTGCTTTTGAAAGCAATACCACTGATTGCATTATGCACCATACAAGAAAATGTTAAAGATCATGCTCACCGACCTTTTAATAGCTCTTTTTCCATAATCTTGGGCCCTTTATTATCTGGGTCTTGGAAATCTCCTGGAATGTATAGTTCATACAATGTCACAGTTCCTGCTTGGAAAAATAGGCTTCAATTAACAACTCTTTTATTCTGATTTTTTTTCTATGTGCATTTAACCACATTCTGTTAAGGATATATTTTTTTTTACAATCTCCCCACTATACATGTTAAAATTCTATGCTAAGAACAGAGTTTGTGTAACAACTCTGTGGCCCTTAGATCAATTTTTATAACATGTATCATGTAACAGAAACAAAATTTCATTAATGTCTTTTTCTTTTTGCCTTCTTTCTTATTTTCCTTCTAGTTATAAAAAGAATGTGATGAGGTTATCAAAGATTCACCATGATCAACCTGTAAAGCCCCTGGATCGAGCGGTCTTCTGGATCGAGTTTGTCATGCATCACAAAGGAGCCAAACACCTGCGGCCAGCCTCCCATGACCTCACCTGGTTCCAGTACCACTCTTTGGACGTGATTGGGTTCCTGCTGGCCTGTGCAGTATCTGCTATATTCTTGATCATCAAATGTTGTTTATTTTTTTGTCTAAAATTTGGTAAAACAGAAAAGAAGAATAAAAGGGGATAAATCTTTCCAACTTTGGCAAAGGTCTGAGTGAAAACTCCTGTTTATTCCTGTACCTCCTTCCTGTTTCCTGTTTTTGAATTTCCCATTCCCCTTTTTTAGCTGAAAAAAAAAAAAGCCTAGAATTTCACAAGAGCATTAACTGGTGAGCATGTCCCATTCTTCCTTTTTCCAGTCCCAGTTTATGGTTATCCTCTTCCTGTTTGCCTACTTTCTGACACAGGGGCATTAATAACTCTAAAAGTCCTATTCATGATATCACTATTTTAATTTTATAACCTTAAGTGATATGGTGATTGCTGGAAAGAACAAAATATAAACTGAATTTCATGGATATGACAAGCTTAGAATAATACAGTTCACAAGTTGCAACAGATTATAGAATCAAGGCAGTAGCCTCAAAAATTAGTTTGCTATAAAACTATGTTTTTCTTTTTAAATAAAAAAAGCCTCTCCACTTGCCCAGTGTTATTAGGATTAGGTCAAAACTGAAAATAATAGTAGTGGGACATTCTGCTTTGGAATGTTTAAAAAGTTTCCATAAAGCTCAGCATTAGTCTGCTCAGGCGCCATAACGAGATACTGAAGAGTCAGTGGCATAAGCAACAGAAATTTATTATTTCATAATTCAGGAGGCTACAAGTGCAAGATCAAGATATCAGCAGGGTTGGTATGGCTTTCCTTTCTGACTGGCAGGCAGCCACCTTCACCCTTCATCTTCTCACAGCCTTTTCTCTCTATGCCCATGGTAAGACAAAGATGCCTTATGTCTCTTCCTCTTCTTATAATGACACAAGTCTCGTGGGATTAGAGTCTGCTGTCATGACCTAATTCAGTCTTAAAATATTGTTAAAGACCTATTCTCCAAACATAGTCACATTGGGAGTTAAATCTTCAACATATAAATTTGAAACAGGTACACGATTCAGCCCATAACAAACTCTACCAAACCATTATGCTTGTTTTTGCCTTCAGTGGACAATTATGTCTTGTGTGCCTTTTATATACAATGGAAAATTCTGAGCATTTTCTTAGATAATAAAGATAATTAATGGAATGATTGCTTTTTCAGCAAGTGAAGATGTTAGTACTATTTTAAAAGTAAGCAGATTATTTAGAAGAAATAAATTAAAAATTATGGAAAAATTGCTTGGCTAATTTTAATAAGATTTTTAAAGACGAGTAAAATTGATAATCTTAAAGTTAAATGTCAATTCACTATAATTAAAAATTACTAGTATTCATAATTTAAATAATAATTCTATAGAAATAATTTTATTTAAGAAATAAATTATTTAAGAAATAGAATTATTTATTTCTATTATAGAAAATAATTTCTATTATATAAATAATTCTATTTAAATAATGATTCAAAGAAATAATTTCCTACAGAAAAAGCCATATACTCTGATTATAAAATCATTACAATTTTTTCAATCTCTAAATTCTATAAATGTAAGTTTATTAATTGTTATTTAAGAGTATCAGATATTAGAAGACTTGGTATATTAAGTATTTATCAATGTATTACTCTAATATAACATTAATATTCATATTTTAATCAGCTATCCATTACTTTAAAAAACATATTAAACATTGCACTAAGTTTACCCTCTCATAATCTCAATGACATATGCACTTAACATTTTACTTTCTATATTTGATATACAGACCTGGAAAACATAGGTTTACAGTTGTTTGCATGAAAAATGGGTATAATTAATAAATAATAATACAAAAATAGCCCTGACTGGTATGACTCAGTGGGTTGGGTGTCTGGTCAGGGCACATGGCTAGGTTGTGAGCCAGATTCCTGACTGGTGGCATGTGAGAGGCAACTGATGGATGTTTCTCTCACATATTGATGTTTCTCTCCCTGTCTTTTTCCTTCCCTTACAGTCTCTCCAAAAAATAAATAAATAAATAAATAAATAAAATTTTAAATAATAATACAAAAATAAACTTTATTTCATGTACTCACAACTATAAACCTACTTTCATAATTTTACTGTATCCTGGAAAGCCATTTGTATTTGCTTTCAGGTAGGTCTGTTCTCTGCAAATACAATGTAACAAATGGCTGAGATCCAGTCAGAGGTTGTCTGGCATCCCTGAGGCTAAGCCTTGCATATACACTAAGGCATCCTCTGAACTCTGAGACTGGCCATCATGGCACAGAATTATTTTTTGCTGCCTCTCAATAGCTGTTGTTCATGTTCCTCTCCTTTTGAATTCAGTTAAAAAATCACACTTGATTTGGCCTTGTACCTTCTATTTTTGTCAACAAATTAAGTCCATCACAGAGGGAATAAAAAGAGCGCCTTTTGCCATGCACTAAGTTTGAAATGCCTATTAGAAGTTCCAGCAGATCATGTGTAGAATTTAGAAAGGCATTCTAGTTTAGAAATATAAAATTGGATATTCATAAAATTGAATTGGATATTCACATAAGTAGTCTACCATGGGACTGTTGAAATCATATGTTAAGAGAAATTAAGAAGGTCTGCCTATTGATTATGGAGTAAATAGTAGGTATTTACTCAAGATAACCCAACTGTAAAGACATTAGGATGTGACTACTCCCAGAAATGTTGGCATAACCAAAGGAATAAACCAGGGATGATAGGTGTCCAGACAAAACTCTCTATCAATCCCAGTGTGGAAAGGACAAGGAAAAATAATATTATAATTAAATCCCAGAAAAGAAGACAACCACATCATAGACAGAGGATCATAGAGGGACACAGTTACCACTAGGGAAGTGAGGCCAAAACAGGGGAGTAGGAAAGATAGTACCTGATTTCTTTCCTTCTGCTGTGATTGTCGATAGGCCTCTCCTATGGCTTAATCTCATTAAACCAACCTCATAAAACTCCTGGGTGTTACAAACAGCATTAGCCAGAGTCCCTGGAGCAAATGGCAGGAGGAAAAAGGATGAGAATGGACTACCCTCAGCAGACATTCATACAGTTGTTCGTATGACAAAATTCTCATCTCTAACAATGTGTATCTTATCAGCCACAGTACTTTTGCATAGCCTTTACAGTCCCAGCTCCTAGAGCTGCACAACAGGTTATAGTTGATAACTTAACATTTTCCATCCACAACATGTTATTCACCCTTTATCCTTGGCAGCTCCTCTCCTGCTCAACAAATAACTGTCCAAACCCTTTTGAACTCTTGGTGGGAACACAGATTGGTGCAGCCACTGTGAAAATCAGTATGGAGATACCTCAAAAAATTAAAAATGGATCCGCACTCTTGACCCAGCATACACACTTCTGGTAATATATCCAAAGAAACCCAAAACACTCATTTGAAAGAACATAAGCACTCCTATGTTCATTGCAGCATTATTTACCATTGCCAAGATTACTACTCAGCTATGGGAAAGAAGAAAACTTTACCCTTTGAGACAGTATGGATGGACCCAGAGAGCATTATGCTAAGTGAAATAAGCCAGTCAGAGAAAGACAGATACCGTATGATTTCATTCATATGTAGAATCTAATGAACAAACTGAACCAACAAGCAAAATAAAGACACACTCACTGAGAATAAGACATGAGTTATGGGGGGAAGCCAGGGGGTGAAGGGATTAAGCAGAAAAGAAAAAGAATTGTGGACATGGACAACAGGGTGGTGATTGTTAAGAGGAAGAGGGTATGAGGGGGATGAATGGTAATGGAAAATACAATAAAATACTTGATGTGTAAAAAAGTGTTTGTATTCCTTCCCAACTAATCTCTCATAAGAAATGGGTTTGACTTTTCTAGATAACATTGATTAATAACATTATATAAATTTCAGATGTACATTATAATTTGATATCTATGTACTCTATTACACGTTCACCACCAAAAGTCTAGTTTCCATCTGTTACCATATATTTGTCCCCATTTACCATTTTGCCCTACCTTACCCCTTACCTCTGGTAATTACTATTGCATGTGCCTATGAGTTTTTTGTGTGTTGTTATGATTGTTCATTTGTTATTTTTTGTTTTATCTTCCACATATGAATGAAACCATGAAGCTTTTATTTTTTCCATCTGACTCATTTCACTTGGCATAATAGCCTCAAAATTCATACATGCTGCTTCAAGTGACAAAATTTAATCTGTATTATTCCATTGTGTGTGCATGGGTGTGTGTGTATATAGGTATACACATATGTGTGTGTGCATGTGTATGCATATATGTATAAATATGTACATACTAATGCAGACACGATATGCATGCATTTTGACTGTGTCCATACACACACAACATGCACATGTATATGTACATATCCATACATGTTTGTGCCTGTGCATATATAAATTTGTACATATATTCCTGTTTATATGTGTGCACATATATGCACACACATATAAATATGTGTGCATACTTATACACATTTACATGCGTAAACATAGAAACTATGTGTGTTTCATATGTACATACATGTGTGGGTGTGTACATACATGTGCTTGTTTAATGTGTACATAAATGTGTATATATTTATAAATATGTACAGACTCTATACATATATATACACATACACACCTTTATCCACTCATCTATCCTTAAACATTTGCTTGTTTTAATATTTTGTCTATTATAAATAATGTTGCAAAGAACAGAGGTACATACATCTTCTTGATTTAGTGTTTTCATATTGTTTAAGTAACACCTAGAAGATGAAGTGCTAATTCATATGGCAGCCCAGTTCTTAATTTTTGGAGGAATCTCCATACTATTTTTTATAATGGTTGCACCAATTTACAATCCCACCAATGTGTACTAGGGTTCTCTTTCCTCCATATCCTCCCTAGCACTTGTCATTTTTTGTCACTTTGGTATCAGCCATTCTAGCAGGTGTGAGGTTTGTGATTTTGACTTGCATTTTTCTAATAGTGAAGCAGAACATCTTTCATGTATCCATTAGTCATCTGCCTACCTTCTCTGGACAAAACGTCTGTTCAGAGCCTCTGCCCATTTTAAAATCAGATTTAGGGGGTTTTTTTTTGTT